CCAACCCCCTGATCAATCGTCGGCACCCCAGCGTTTTTCGTCAGCGAACTAGACTCACAGCCTCAGTGAGCAAGCGCCGACCAAGTCCAAGTTCGGCCTGATCCGACTCCAGAGGGGCCATGCGCACAGTCCTCGCCTGTTGTGAGAGACTGCCGTCCCAGCGCGTACCCCCACTGAAACATCTTGAGCCTCTTGAGCTGCAGATCCACGGCCAATGTCAGACATAGTAAACCGCCCTGCCAGCAGTGCCCGCCCCTGGAAACTTCTCTCGATCGCGGACCCACGGGCGCATCGAGCCGTCTGCGACGGCCCGAAGATGCGCCGCCAGCTCACCTGCTGTACGATCTTGTGCCGCCCGACTCCTCGCCGCGGCCTCTGCGGATCACTGCACCAGGGGACCCGCGCGGCATGCGGCTGGCACGCGCGGAACAGAACGCCACCCGGCCCCCCACGCTGCGACTCGACCTGCAGGGGTCTCACGGCGGCAGCTCGTGCTGCGCTTTTGGCGGGGCCCTCATCGGGCGCCGGCTGCAGGCGCGCACAGCGCGGCCTCCCCCCCACGCTGCGCCCCGGCCCGCAGGGCTCTCACGGCGGCAGCTCGTGCCGCGCTCTGGGCGAGGCCCTCGTCGGGCGGCGGCTGCCGGCGCGCCGCCCGCAGCGGCACGCGTGCCCTCCGCCCCGGGCCGAAGCAGAGGGCGAGGCGGCGAGGGAGCAGCGCGCGGTTGCGGCCTCATCGCTCCGCACCCTTGCCACCCTCCCCTCTCCCTGTCCCCTCCCCTGCCACTGGCCCGTCCCCTCGCGGTCGCCCTTGCGCTCCCAGGTAGCGTTGCCAAGGGCACCCGGCTGGCGCGATCCCTCCCCACGGGGAGCACCGCCGCTCGGGCCTAGGCCGAGCAGCGGTTGTGCCCCGAGGGGGGAGTGGTGCACGGACCTCCAGCCAAGCTTCGCGCGGACGGACTCCATTCCCCTGCCCACCTGCCCGCCTGCTTGCCTGCCTGCCTGTCCGCCGTGCCCGCCTGCTTGCCCACCTGCCCGCCTGCTTGCCCACCTGCCCGCCTGCCTAGACACCCTGCTTGCCCACCTGCCCGCCTGCCTGCCTGCTTGCCCACCTGCCCACCGCCTGCTTGCCTGCCTGCCTGTCCCCCCTGCTTGCCCACCTGCCCGCCCGCCTGCCCGCCCGCCTGCCCACCGTGCTCGGCTGCCCGCCTGCCCGCCCGGCGGGCGGGCACCGACGGGCGGCCGGCGGGCGGACCTTTGCGGGCGCGTCGGGCGTGCGGACCCGTCTGGGCGGGTCGGGCGGGCCAGCGCTGTGGTGCACAGTCCTTCCAGCGAACATCAACGTGGGCGACGCCGACAACGACGGGGTCGACGCCGACGACCACGACCACGACCACGACCACGACCACGACCACGACGAGGGCGACGACACCGACGACGACGACGACGACGACGACGACGACGACGACGACGACACCGAGGACGGCGATGATCGACTAGCGCGTTCCACTACTCGCAGAGTAACTACTCGCAAATGGCCTGGATCCCCCGCGGGGGATCTGCGATGAATTACATGAAAGCAGACAGGTGTTTTTCGGACGTTTGCGAGTAGGCACTTTGCGAGTAGTGGAACGCGCTCGGCGAGATGAGGACGGCGACGACGAAGGCGACGACAACGACGATGACGACGACGAGGGTGACAACGACGACGACCATCCTGCGAACATGTGACCCCGTCCCAAAATCAGGTTTGCCTTTCATCTGTTTCTCCCTCTCCCTGACACGCGCCCCTTGAGTCCATGAGCCAACCTCCTCTGGGGGGCTTCTTTTCCGTACCAGCTCCCTGGAGAAGAATTCAGTTTAGTTGCCTTGATACGCCCGTTTTGACACGCAATACGCACCGTGCTCAAAACGTACGTGTCGATACGTTGCGTGTTGGCGCAACGTATTGGCCTACGTTTTGGCGAAGGCATCGCGTCAGACCTACGTTTTCAGTCTACGTATGGAGCTCCGTATCACTACGCTACGTGTTGCGTGCTGCGTGTCGGGGCAGCTAAGAGATTGTTTTTTTATCCTCTGGGGGGTAACGCTCGTTACCCGGGCCTCTCCCCCCCCCCCCCCCCCGTAACGGTAACGCTCGTACGCGGGGGGGTCTCGGTCTTCCCCTCCAACATGCTGGTGCCCGAAGGCATGCGCACTGTGGTGTGGTGGTCGCAGGCGCACTGTGGGCGCTCGCAGGCCATTGCGGCGCTCGCATGCGCGATGCTGGTGCTTGCGGGCTTTGCGCTTGTACTCGAATCGCAAGCCACTGTGGTGCTCTCAGGCAGAGAGTGCTGCTCGCGCGCATACTATGGCGATCGCAGAGCGCCCCTGCTTCGCCATACCCCGCCCAGCCCAAGCGTTACCGTTACCCGGGGGGCACGACCCCCCCCCCCCCCCGGGTAACGAGCGTTACCGGCCGGAATAAAAAAATGATGCATTCAGCAGTGCACTCCGCGTGCGCGCGGCGCCGCAACGACCGCAGTGCGAGCTCACCAGCGGGCTCGGCACTGCGCGGAGAGCTGCGGCGCGAGCCCGCTCCTCGGTGCCGGGGCCTCTCTCCGGCCAGGGCGTCGCAGCGCAGGCTCGAGTCGGGCCTGCCCCTCTGCAGGAGGAGTTTTTGCAAAAATAGACAAAAATAGTCTGGGGACGATCTTTTTTACTATTTTTGCCATTTTGGAGCATGTTTCGGCTATCCTTCATTTTTCGTCAAAAATCTGCCTGTAGGTGGACAGGCCCGACCTAACCGTATGGGGACGATTTTTTGTTGGTTGTATGTTTGATTGTTTTGAAGATGTTTCGAATCTTTGAAATTTGTCCCCCAAAACTCCGCCTGCAGGGGGACATGCCCGACCCAAGCGTAAGTTGTGGCGACGTATCGAGCGGGAGCCCTTGTCGTCGCAGGTGGGCCGTTGCGAACTTGATTGGATTTCGGGGAAGTGTCGGGCGAGAACGCCGTTCCTGATTTCGGGGCCCTCTCTGGTGAGGGCGTCTCCGAGTGAACTGTGAGTGCCTATCGAGCGGGAGCCGTTGTCGTCGCAGCTGGGGCGTTACCGACTGGACTGAACTGCGAGGAAGTCTCAAACGAGACCGCCGTTCTTTACTTGGAAGGCCTTTCTGGCCAGGGTGACTCGACATGAATCGCTTCGCTCACTCCGCCGGCCCATCTTGTATCACCGCTGCCGATGTTTGGAACCTTGCTTGTGGACGGTGGCTGTCTATGAGCGCGACCGCAAGGCCCCAGCTGCTTCTCCAGCAGCGGCCCAACGCGGAGAGTGGTCCCGGGGTGTTCAGGAGGGAAGAAATACACAGACACAATTCATCGTCGATTCCCCTGAAGATATGGGAAAATTTGGAGCATGGGGGGGGAAGACGAAAACCACAAAAAATATGGGAAAAGATGGGGAATATTTTTATTTGTGTGTGTTTATTTGTGTGTCCTGGGGCCCCTTCAGGTGTGGGAGGCTCGCGTGGGCCGGCCCGCGGAGAACCGAGGAGCGTGGCCCGAAAGGCATCGCCAGCTCAAAACAGGCGCCCAGCCCCGAGAGTGCGAGGGCCGGAATAGAGCGGAGGCTTCTCGAGACTTCGGGTTGGTCCCTCCTCCTCCTCCTCCTCCTCCTCCTCCTCCTCCTCCTCCTCCTCCTCCTCCTCCTCCTCCTCCTCCTCCTCCTCCTCCTCCTCCTCCTCTTCCTCGTCGTCGACAGCGACAGCGACAGCAACGGCAACGGACGACCGACGGCGACAGCGCCAGCGACGAAGACGCACGCAGGACGGCGGCTGGCGGCGGCGGCGACGGCTTCTCGAGACTTCGAGACCCGGCCTCTGTTTTCCATTGGCGCAGTCGTGCGACTGCCTCGCCACCCTCGCTGCGACGGGCGGCATGCGGGCGGGAAGAACACCAGCCCTCGGCAGCCTGAGCCGAGGGATGGCTGATGACGGATCGGGGAAGGAGGGAGCCAACTGGGATGTTGGGGAGACGCTTGCAGGAGGTAGATGTCCGGGCCAGCTTTTGCCAGGGGGGGCAACGACGAACGCAGACCATGCCCCGAAGTCTTTGGCCGCTTTCTGGGTCCTCGGTGGATCCGCGATGTTGAGATTGGGAATGCGTTTTTTCTTGGCCAAAGCAGGCCTCACAGCGTCGCCAGAAGTACGCGTCGCAAATCTCTCTCGTCTCTATTCCTGGCGCTTCCGTCTGTGAGTGTCTGAGTGAGGTCAGGAGGGGCAAACAAAAAACACAGACACAATTAATCGTGAACTCTCTGGAAAATATGGGAAGATATGGGAAGTGGGGGGAAGACGACTTTGTGTTCCTCCCCATGCCCTTCGGCCTCATCGTCGTGCTGTGCGCGGAGGACTTGTGCGTGGAGAGGACTTCAGGGGTGGATGTGGACGTTGATGTTAGATGGGGAATCTTGTTATTTGTGTACACTTCCTGAGAGGGGGAGGGGCCCCACCGGGCACCACCTCCAGGGGCACCTGGGCGAGGAGGGGGAGGAGGGGGAGGAGGAGGAGGAGGAGGAGGAGGAGGAGGAGGAGGAGGAGGAGGGAAAGGAGGAGGAGGAGGAGGAGGAGGAGGAGGAGGAGGAGGAGGAGGGAGGGGGTAGGGGGAGGTGGGAGGAGGGCCCCTTCATGAGAGGATCTGAGCCTGTGGCAGCAGCGCTCCCTCTCGGCTCCACGGCGGAGTGCCCCGGGGCCATGGCTGTTGCGTCGGGAGGCTTCGGGGGAACTTCTGGGGTCTCCTGGGGGGCCCTCCCCGGGAGCCTCTTGGGGGCGTCTTCGGGGCGTCTTGGAGGTCTGTGTGTAGGGCCCTCTCGCAGGGGAGGGTCCTGGCTGTGCGGGGGACTCGGGTTCTTCCTCTTCGGGCCCTCGCTGGAGTTTTCTGGAGGCTTCTTTTGGGAGGCCTCTCGGGCGTCTTCGGGCCCTCGTTCGTGGGCCGTCTCGTGGCCGGTTTGGGGGGCGGGCCGGGCGGGCGGGCTCCCACAGGCGGGTCGGGCGGGTCGTGCGGGCGGACCTTGACGAGCTGGTATAGCGCCCGCCCCACGGCAACTCGCGCTCCTGTAACGTAGCGCGCGCCGAGTGGCCAAGGCGAGGCCCGCAAAAGGCGCTTCCTGTCGGAAACGGCCTGCGAGCCTCAGACTATGCTCGTCGGCACCAGCAGAGCATGCCTGTGGGTGCTGGAAGCGTTTCGAGCACGCCAGTGTATACTGGGACTACCAGCAGACCATCCCACTCCGCACGCGTCGCGTGCAGGCGGCCGCCACCACGCCCCGCATGGAGCGGTGCCGGTGAGCACCGCCGTGCCTGCGAGCATCGCGCAGCGTCTGAGCAGTACGGTATCCCTCCTCGCCCGCCCTCCGTCCGTCCGTGTTGCCCATGTTGAGCGGTGGGGAGTGGAACTCGCCCGGGTGGAGCTCGCCCGGGCGGAACTCGCACGGAACGGAACTTGCGCCGACTGAGCTCGCACGGACGGACTTCGCAAGGACAGAATGCGCACCGACGGAGCTCGCACGAACGAAATTCGCACGGATGTGACGCACACGGACGGGACTCGCGCGAACGGAATTCGCACCAGCGGAACTCGCACACAGAGAATCTTCAGACCGAGAGCAAACTCATGCGTGCGAGCTCCGCGCGTGCGAGCTCCGTCCCGACGAGTTCCTCCTCGTGCGAGTTCCGTCTGTGCGAGTTCCGTCCGCTGGTTTGCGCGTGCGAGCTCCGCCTCGCGCGAGCTCCGCCTCGCGCGAGCCCCGCCGCCTCCAATCGGGCGGGCCCCGAGAGGCAGTCCTCGGGGGCGCTGGCACCCCCGCCGCCTTCCCTAGAAAACAAGACATCGTGACCAAATCTCGCGCCCAAAATATTGCAATTTACAATGATTTGTTGCGTGCACGTGCGTAACCAAATCGGCTTCTTGTTGAGCCAAGTTCGTATGAGAGGGGTGCATGGTTTTGATTTGGTTGCGCGCAGCGAATTCGCCGCGCTGGCTGTCACGGGCCCCCCGGGGCGGCCGACACCCGCTAACCGCGCGGACGTGTCCCGAGGGGCACCCGTTCAGCACGAAGTCCGAAGACGCAGTCCCTCCCCACCTCCTGGAGGAGGAGGAGGAGGAGGAGGAGGAGGAGGCGGAGGAGGAGGAGGAGGAGGAGGAGGCGGAGGAGGAGGACGAGGAGGAGGAGGAGGAGGAGGAGGAGGGTGGGCCTCCCTCATCCCCCTCCCCCCACGCGGCCCCTCCCTCCCCCTCCCATTGCTTGTTTTGGCGCGCCGATCGCAGGGCGCAGAAGCAGTGAGCGCCGAGGTCGCGCGTGACAGTGGGGCCCCTGCTGTCGCCTCGCGCTGCACATGTCGGCAGTGCGCGAGCGACCAACGATCAAGACGCGGTGGCAACAACTTCCGCCTCCGCGTGCCCCCCTGACACCTTGCCTGACACCTTGCCCGCCCAACGCCGGGTCAGAGGTACACGCCTGTGGAGTACGTCGGACTGTTTGCGGTCCCCCCTGTCGAGCTGCCCCCCGGACACCGTGCTTCTCCGCCTCCTCCCCCCCCTCGTAACCTTCCCCTCGCTCCCCTCTCCCCCTCTCCCGCGGACCCCCTGCGGCGAGGAGGCAGTCTCCCTGGCGTCAAGGATGCACCCTGACCAGATCATACCACGGACAATCGCCCGAAGGCCGCGTCCTGCGTGCCTCCCTCGTGGCCCCCCGAACGAGCGTGCGAGAGGGGCCCGGGTAACTTGTGGGGTCCAAAGCCTGGATAGTAGGGCACCGGGAGGCCGTGCGAAGGCCTGTCGAAGATTTTTGGAAGGACCTGGAGAGAGCTTCCAGAGGACCTTCTGGAGAGCTTCGGGCACGCGCACTGGGAAACGCTCAGAAAAGGCCGAACGAGCGTGCGAGAGGGGCCAGGGTAAAGAGGGCTTTGGCACCCCCCCCGCCTGTCACCTCCCTCCTCCTCCTCCTCCTCCTCCTCCTCCTCCTCCTCCTCCTCGTCATCATCGTCATCATCATCATCATCATCATCATCATCATCATCATCATCATCATCATCATCATCGTCATCATCATCATCATCATCATCATCATCATCATCATCATCATCATCATCATCATCATCATCATCCTGCCTGGCCGCACCCGGAGGCTGGGCCGACGCCGCCTCGCTGCTCGCCGCCAGGGCCGCGCTGCGCTCGGCCTCAGGCCGCCGCGGCAGGGCCTTCCGCAGGGCCGCCCCGGCGGGCGCGGGACGCGGGGGGGGGGGGCGGGGGGCAAAGGCCACGTGCGACGAGCGACGATTTCGACGACGACGATCGGTCCACGGTGACGACGACGACGACGACGACGACGACGACGACGACGACGACGACGACGACGACGACGACGACGACGACGACGACGACGACGACGACGACGACGACGACGACGACGACGACGGCGGCGGCGGCGGCGGCGGCGGCGGCGGCGGCAGCGGCGGCGGTGGTCGCTGAGAGCCGCAGCCTGCGCCTGCGCCTGGGCGGCAGGGCGCTCTCAGCGAGGGAGGCTGCCCTCGAGCGGCCGAGGGCCCGCTGCCGCCCCCTCGGCGGGGGTCCGGCGCCGAGGCCGCAGGGCGCTCGCCGAGAGGGCCTGCCGCCTGCGCGCCGCGCCCCGCGCCGAGGGCAGCGAGAGGGGCCCGACGCCTCTCTGGCGGCGGCGCGGCGGCGGAAGGCTGGGGGGTGTGAGCTTCCGTACGGCCACGGCGGCAGCGGGCCTGCGTCGAAGGAGCCTCCTCCTCCTCCTCCTCCTCCTCCTCCTCCTCCTCCCCCCCTCCTCCTCCTCCTCCTCTCCTCCTCCTCCTCCTCCTCCTCTCCCTCCTCCTCCTCCTCCTCCTCCTCCTCCTCCTCCCTCCTCCTCCTCCTCCTCCTCCTCCTCCTCCTCCCTCCTCCTCCTCCTCCTCCTCCTCCTCCTCCTCCTCCTCCTCCTCCTCCTCCTCCTCCTCCTCCTCCTCCTCCTCTTCCTTCCCCCAGTAGGAGGGGGAGCAGTAGGAGGGGGAGGCGGCACCCTCCTGCGAGGGAGGTCCACGATGCCTCCCTCGCCGCCTGCCAAGCCACCCCAGCCCAACCCGAAGGCCCCGACTTGCCCTCCACTTCCAGTGGGGGAGGGGTCGGGAAACATTGAAAAAACACATGGAGCTCGTACCCGCAAGTCGGGTCTGTCCCTCTACAGGAGGAATATTCAAAGATAGTCACAAAAATAGTCTGGGGACGCTTTTGTTGACTATTCTTGCTGTTTTGGAGCATTTTTCTGCTATTCTTAATTTTTCGTCCAAAATCCTCCTGTATGGAGGACAGGCCCGACCTAACTGCACCCCCCCAACCCGAAATTCGGGTCAAATTCTGATCTTCGGGTTGGGTTTGGGTGGCCTGGTAGGTGGTCACTCCCAGAGCTGCAGGCCGGAGACGTCTCGAGCGGGGCACGGGGGACCGCACCACCAGAAGGGCTACCCAGGGTCACCCGCGGGGGGCGCGGAGGTGATCGTGCTTCGAGCGCCGCGGTCTGGGCTGGAGCGTCTGCTCTCCTCCAAAGGGGGCGGCGAGAGGGCGCGAGGGCGCGAGGATAATCGCGAGTCGCGCAGCGCGATGCGCAAGGTCAGGTGACTCAGGCGACGGGGGCGGCTCCGCCAGGGGAAGCCGGCAGGAGGCCGGCGGGGATCAGAGCCGACGCCCCCATAATTGACGTTCGGGCAACAGCTTGGTGCGTCTGCTGAACGGCCCTGCCCTGTCCGATTCCTTCCCGAGGTGCGTGAGCCAAAGGTCCCCGCCTGCGAGGGCGTACTGCGAGGGCGGTTCCCCCGCCCTCGGGGACAGCATGGGCGCCACTCATGGCCCAATGGACTGCCCATGACGCGACGTAGAACAGTCGAGTCAAGATGTGCAGACCGTTCCCTGCCCAAGAGAGCGCCTTACGACCCAGCGGTGGCCACTCACCGCCCAATCGGGTTTGGCGGGCAGCTCACAGCCCAGGAGGAGCCGATCGCTGCCCGTCAGGAGGGAGGACTTCGTGCCCAACCAGGGCTACTCGCGGCTCAACTGGGCTACTCACAACCCCATGTGAATTCTTCATGGCCCAGATCAGGTTATTCGTGGCTCAGCTGGGCTTTTCACAGGCCACCTGGGGTTATTCGAGGCAGACTTCTTGCCACACGAGGGTGCTTGCTGTCACTGCGGTTGCCCACTTCAGGATGGCGCAGCCATGTTGCTGCTGTATTTGTCAACCATGCCTCTCTCTCTCTCTCTCCCTCTCTGTCGGGCGCGCCCCAGCTGCCGCGGCAGCGCGCCCGTGGTGAACAGACGTTTGCTCGCCAGGTCTGGTTGCCTCACTTATCGTACACACTCGGTTCGAAGGACAGCAGCAGCAGGAGCAGCAGGAGCAGCGGCAGGCTCAGCAGCAATATCAGTGGTAGCACCAGTAACGGCATCAGCAGTAGCCAGGGCCCTCGCCTAATATATAAAGCAAGCGACACATGGCGATACAGTGGCACGGCTAGATTGCAGGATAGGTTTGATGCTCGATTGCGTCGCGCGAACATTTATGGCAAAAGTAGGACAGCTCCAGGGAAGCTGAAAACAGTGACTGAGACTGGCCCTCCCATTTTTCTAGTCCGAGCTGGTAACCCGTTGCCTGTGCCGGTCCCAGGAACATCCACGCTTGTCCACCCAAGCTGAGCCACGTTGTTGCCCAAACGAGACCACTACAATGTGTCTGAGCCTTGGTTATATACCGCGCTCCACCTGCTTGGCGCGAGAGGCGTAGAGAGACGCCGCCCCCAAGCAGTTTCGACGCTCGTGACGCGCATGCTCCTGCTTGATGCCGACAGTGATGGCTCAAAACGAGGATGACAGCGCCGACGCCGACGACGACAATACTGCTGGTAGGGCAGAGAGACTGAGGAAGCGGGCGGCCTGCGGATCCGGAACCACCATGGTACTTGGCTGAACATGCAGGTCAGCGCGCTTTTTTTTGCAGTTGGGAAGGATCTGCATGTACTCGGGGGGGCTGCTCTTTCTGTGCCCATCCCCTCACATCCACTGTCCACCCCCGTCCTACTCAGCATTATCCTCTTCCTGCCGCTCCTGCTACTGTTCACACAACTTATACCTCGACTGGCACTCTGATCACCAATCGACCATGCTCGTCGTCATGTCCATATTATACAAACATTCACACTTACACCCACAAGTAAAACCAAATTCGCTATCGTAGTCGTAGTCACGGTCATACTCGCATTCGTATTCGCGCACATGATCGCAATCAAATATTTGCCCACGTGGGCCCGAAAGAGTGGGTTCTGCGCACTATATGTCGTGCAATAGATGGGATGCTGTCTATGTCGTGCAGCCTGTGGGATACAATCTATGTTGTGCATCCACTCTGGTGCAATCTTGTTGTTATCCCATGAAGAACTTGAAGTCGTCAACTCAACTGCTTGCGCAAGAATCCCACCCTCCTACCCGCAACCTGTTCGGCAGAATCCGTTCGGACACGAATGCGGCTACTGAGTGACAGTTGCTGGCGGATCTCTACAGCCGCGCCGGCGTGCGCACGCTCGCGCGCAGAGCGAACAGTGGGGCGCAACTGTGGAAGCGCGCGCATGTGGCCCGCATGGTGCTATTTGATGCGGAGTCGTGCACTGCGCGCATGCTGTATCAGCGTGGATGCATTGCGTAGTGAGATGGGGATTCGGGTTCGAGGCGAGGAGAACCACATGTTTTTCCAATGATTTCAGCAAGTGCGCGCGTGCAGAATATCTGCAAAGTGCGACCTGAACCTGGTATCTGTTAGCCACCGTGGATCCAAAACGGGAAATTGTTGCTTTGTGGTTGTGTAAGCTACGTTGTGCAAGCTATGTGGTGCAAGCTACGTGGTTCAGAATACGTGGTGTAAGCTGGAGGCGGCATCGACACGGCAACGAGCCGGACCCACCCAGAGGACGAAGCGGCAACAAAGCGGCAACGGGCGGCAACGTGGCGAAAATTCGCTGGACCCACCCAGCGCACGAAGCGGCAACGAAGCGGCAGCAGGCGGCAGCGTGGCGAAACCTCGCAGGACCCATCCAGTGCAGAGGCGGCAACAATGCAGCAACGAGACGGCAACGGGCTGCAAAGCGGCGGAACATCTCCGGACTCACCCTGCGCACGAGGCGGTAACGAGGCAGCAACGGGCGGCAACATGGCGAATCTTCGCCGGACCCACCCAGCGCGCGAAGCGGCAACGAGGCGACAACGGGCGGCAACGTGGCGAAACCTCGCCGGACCCACCCTATGTACGAGGCGGCCACGAGGGAGCAACGGGCGGCAACATGGCGAAACCTCGCCGGACCCACCCAGAGGACGAAGCGGTAACGAGGCAGCATCGAAGCGACAACGGGCGGCAACGTGGCGAAACAACGTGGCGAAAAACATTTCCGGACTCACACAGCGCACGAGGCGGCCACGAGGGAGCAACGGGCGGCAACACGGCGAATCCTCGCCAGACCCACCCAGCGCGCGAAGCGGCAACGAGGCGACAACGGGCGGCAACGTGGCGAAACCTCGCTGGAACCACCAAGCGCACGAGGCGGCAACGTGGCGAAACCTCGCTGGACCCACACAGAGGACGAGGCGGCAACGAAGCGGCAGCGGGCGGCAATGTGTTGAAATTCCGCTACGCTCACCCTGCGCACGGGGCGGCAACGAGGCGGCATCGGGCAGCAACGCGGCGAAACCTCGCAGGACCCACCCTACGCACGAGGTGGCAACGAAGCGGCAACAGGCTGCAGCGTGGCGAATCTTCGTCGAACCCAACAATATTTTTTTGGGAGAGATGCAACAGCCCCTAAGCGCAAACTCTGCGTGGGCGAAGAACATACAGCTTGTATGTTGAAGCGCTTGTAGAACGAATGTGTTTGGTATGATGTAAACATGTGTTCGCGCGTGTGGATGTCGTGGTATTTGTTGCAAGGGGTTATATTCAACAACATTTGTTTCAGGAAAGCGAGTGCGCGCGCACGGTATTATTTGACAGGGATGATGGGGGTGGTCGATACCAGCCCGGCTGGGATGGTACTACTTCACGTGAAGTGAACGATGCGACAGAATCATACGTAAATTACAATACCCCAGAGGGGACGGTAAACCCCAGGCTCGGGAGGTTGGTAGGGTCGACTCCTCTCTAGAATGGAAAGCTTACGCGGTACAATTCCGCACGCAGATCTTGAAGTCGTCAACTCCATTGCTCGTGCAAGCATCCCACCATTCCACCCGCAACATGTTGGCAAACTCAGACAGGCCGCGCGTGCAGCTAACCATCGGAACGTGCTCTCGAATCTCAGGCGACGCGGCGACGCGCGGGCCCTGCGCAAGCAGATCCATGGCTCGGGCGGGCGAGTGATGATGCTGACGACGACATCGGCGACGACGACAACCACGAAGATGACGATGACGATGATGCTGATGAGGATGAGGATGAGGATGAGGATGAGGATGAGGATGAGGATGAGGATGAGGATGAGGATGAGGATGAGGATGAGGATGAGGATGATGAGGATGATGATGATGATGATGATGATGATGATGATGGTGATGGTGATGGTGATGATGATGGTGATGGTGGTGGTGATGGTAATGGTGATGATGGTGATGACGATGATGATGATGACGATGATGATGACGATGATGATGACGATGATGATGACGATGATGATGACGAGGATGAGGATGAGGATGAGGATGAGGATGAGGATGAGGATGAGGATCAGGGTAAGGATGAGGATGAGGATGAGGATGGTGATGATGATGATGATGATGATGATGATGGTGATGGTGATGGTGATGGTGATGGTGATGGTGACGGTGATGATGATGGGGATGGTGATGGCTACGGCGATGATGATGGTGATGGTCGTGGCGGTGGTGATGGTGATGGTGGTGGTGATGGTGATGGTGACGGTGATGGCGTTGGCGACGATTGCGAGGGCGACGAACAATGGTGTTGGAAGGACTTCGACGTGCGGGCGCGGAGGCGCGCGCGTGTGGACCGCCCAGCATGATCTGACGGGTGTCGGAGGCGACGTGCGCGCGCGTGGCCCTCCGCAGGTGCACGCGCTCAGACGCCCGGCAACTCCCTGTTGACGTGCAACTGGTTGTTGACAGTTCGCTAAACAGCTTATCTGCGACATTTCTATATTATATGTGTTGTATCTATATAACTATATATATATATATATACCGAAAGGCTAGTGGCCTCCTGCTGCCTCCCGTTGCCGCCAGTTGTCCCCCCGTTGCTTCCCGTGGTCCCATATCCCTGGCCCTCTAGCCCTGGCCACGTATCTTTACCCCTGCCCCTGCCCCTGCTCCTGTCCCGATCCCCCCATCGTGGCCTCCCATCGTGACCCCCCCTCGTGGCCCCCATTCGCAGCTGTGCGAGGCTGCGCAGGGCTTCCTTCCACGAAGGCCGGCATTCCCGAGCGGCCACGCCTCGGAACAGCTGGCAGGACCGTGGCCGAGAGAGCCCGCTCGTGGCCCCCCGCTTCTCACGACAAGGGGGGGGGGCCCAGCTTTGAAGCTACCACCCCACCCCATCCCTGGGAAAGGAGGGGGGGGGCTTCCGAAGCCACTTCCCCTCGCTTCCTTCTGTGGGCATTTCGGAACCAGGGGGCCCCCAGCTGAGGGAGGGGGGGGGGGGGGGCATCCAAGCTGCTCCCCCCTTCTTTTCCGGAGCCGAAGGTCAGCCCGTGCTCCCTGCGGGGGGGGGGCTTCCGAAGCTACCCCCCTCTTCTTTTTGTTTGGATGTTTTAGCTGGAGGGTCCCTGGCTGAAAGGGGGGGCTTGGAAGCTACCTCCTTTTCGAGGCCCGGGGTAAGCCTGGGCTCCCCTTTCCAAGGGGGGGGGGGCTTCCGAAGCTACCCCCGCCCATCCCCTCCTTCTGTTGTTGGCTTTTCCAGTTGGAGGGCGCTGGCTGAAAGGATGGCTTCGAAGTTACTTTTCTTCTTTGGTTTTCGGTGCCCCGTTGGTTTTCGGCGTACTTGTGGTTTTCGGCGCCTCTTTGGTTTTCGGCGCCTCTTTGGTCTTCGGCGCCCCTTTGGCTTTCGGCGCCCCTTTGGTGTTCGGCGCCCCTTTGGTGTTCGGCGCCCCTTTGGTTTTCGGCGCCGCTTTTGGTTTTCGGCGCCCCTTTTGGTTTTCGGCGCCGCTTCTGGTTTCCTGCGCACCCTCTGGCTTTCGGCGCCGCTCTGTTGGTTCTCGGCGCCCTTTTTGGCTTTCGGCGCACCTCCAGCTTCGGCGCCCCGTTCGGCTTTTTCGGGGCTCCTTCGTTGTTCGGGGCGCCTTTGGCTTTCGCAGATGTCGGTGTTCGGTGGCCCTTACGGCCTGCACGCCGCCGCGCGCCCTCTGGCCGCCGTGAGGCCCCGCCCGCCTTGTGCTGTGTCTCCCCCAGTTAGTGCTTGGCGCGGCCCGCCGAGCTCTTCACCGGAAGAGGCTCGCCCTCGACCCGCAGACCCCCAAAAAAAGATTTTCGGTGGCCTCTTGGCTTTTGGCGCTCCGTTGGTTTTCTCGGCGCCCTTTTGGTCTTCGGGCGCTCTCCTGGACTCTGGCGCCCGTCTGCGCCCCTTTTGAGTTTCGGCGCCCTTTTGGTCTTCGGCCTTCCTTTGGTGTTCGGCGCCCCTGCGGTGTTCGGCGCCCCTGCGGTTTTCGGCGCTCCTTTTTTGTCCTCGGCGCCTTGTCCGTCTCCGGAGCTCCCGTTGCTTCCGCCGCCCCTCCCGTCCTCGGCGCCCTCTTGGTTATCGACGCCCCGTTGGCTGTTCAGCACCCTCCTGGTTTTCGGCGCATCGTTGGTTTTCGGGGCCCCGTTGCTCTTCGGGGCCCCTTTTTGATTCCAGCGCACCTCTGGTTTTCGGCGCCCCTCTTTGTGTTCGGCGCTGTGCTGGTTATCGTTATCCCTCTGGTGCTCTGCGCCCCCTCGGTGTTGCGCGC